TTATTTTTATAGTTTTTACCTGTAATAATAGAGTTCTTCTTAAAATTGTATGGTGTCTCGTTTGAGACGTAAAGGGTGAAAAACCAGTAGTTAAATGGTTTTCTAATCTGTAAATGTTAAATCTAATCTGTAGCTAATGTGTGTTGACTTGTAAGCTTTAAATGTTAGCTGTGAGTATTATAACTTCGAGGCACTCAGTGTCTAACTGTATTTCTTATTTTTTTTTAAATTGTTGTTTAGATTATTGACTGAGACGAAATGAGAGCTGTGTTGTTATACCCTATAATAAGTTTAATATTATATTCCTGAATTAAGATTGTTATTTTGGATACTGTAGAGATTTACGTTTTTGTTGGATAACCCATTAAAATATAAAAATAAGTATTGTACATTCGTAACTCAAATACTCAATATTATCATTAGTTACCTTTTTAAACTTTAGTGCCAGTATTTTAATTTAATGATTATGTATAAGTAAACCTATGCTTAGACTGGAGTAGACGAATTTAATTTCATTAATGTACCCTGCACATAATTGCAATCATAACTCTTACTTCAAATCTATCTTATTCTAGTCAAAAATGCATTTATAGTTCATAGTTTAGTTAATATGTAACAACTCATGTTTTTTTTTGTATTTGCGACTCCGTGTTTATTTCTTTTGTAAAAAAATTGCCTCGTCCTATTCATGTCGTGTCCGTCTATTTATGAGTATATTTTATAAAATGTCAATTTGATTTATAATTAGAATTAACTTAATATTACGTCACAGTATGTTATTGATTTGACCCAAAAGTTAATACCTGTAAAATGCTATAAGGTTTATATTGATTCAACTCTACTCTCAATTTATTATAGACCAACTCTCCTAGGTCTTGCGTTTATAGAATAAGTATATGGTCATTGTTGTAGTTTTAGCTATATGTTTCAATTTTATCATCTAAATGTTAAATTAGTGCGTAGTGATAGTAGTAGATTGGACGTAGTATTTCAGTAGGTTCTGTGAGTTATAAAATGTTTCATTGTTGTGAAAGAAATAAATCATAAAAGTATAAAGCGTTTTATTTTATAACATTAAAATAAACGATTAAAGTATGGAACTGAGTGTGATGAAGGAATCTAGGGTTAACTCAAAGATCACAGAAACTAAAGGGAGATGTGACAAGGGCCGGTGTCGCAGCAATATGCCCAAAAAACAAAACACATTGCTGCAGACACGTCATAATGTAAACAGTTCACATTGCTTGCGTAGTTCTAAAGATTATCCGAACGTTGAGTACTGATACCGAAGTGTATAATGAGCACATAATATTTTGATTACTTTGTGTGTGTCAATTCTCTATGGGTTAACTGCTGAGCGTAGCAAAGCAAATTAGAATCCTTAGCTTGGCTCTACTTTTCACACCTGCGAGACAATAAACCCAATAGTCATTGGGACTACTATTTATTATTAGACAGGCTGTCAGAGCTAAAATAATTCTCTCTGAAGACGGCAGGTCTTTCATCTAAAAGGTGGTTAAATGTAATTTTGAGCTAGAGGCGCAAAATGTGGAATTTTATTACAATTTTCTTAAAACGTTATCTTATAATAACGGTACAAAATAGAATAACCGAAGTAGGAGATCGGTAGATTATAAAGTAAGAAACATTCAAACCATTCAAAAGTGAAAAAATATCAAAGCCTTTTAGTTTGAGGAAGGTAATGTGCCACCTCATGTAATCAGGGTTGCCAGCGAATAAAAGGAACGCAGACGCTGAAGGACCCTGAATTTTAGTAAATTGTCACCTGTGCACGAACGTGAACAAGTTTTTATTAATTTATAGTAGGTATTTTATATAAAGGACAGTGCCAATCCATGTATGGAAGTTGGACCAAGTGCTGCCCAGAATGAAACTATAGTGCATTTTGTTCCTCAGGCCAATACTAATTTGTAAACCGGAGCGCACTGAAATCTATCCCTGGAGTTAAGAGAAAAAAAGAGTTTTGTTTGGAATTATTTACATACAAAATATCATCGATGTATACCTACTACGCATAAGATTTCGCGATTTTGGCATTAAATAACACTCTTACACCTTACTTTAGTACGACTTCGACATTATTTATAAGCGATCAAGCGCTGTTGCAGTAGTTTGGTTAGTTGACCGAAATTAATTATTTCCAAAATAGAGCAAGAAGTTTTAGCTTACAATAACTTCAATAATCGATTGTAATACACCAATAAATTGATTTTTCGCAAGGATAGAGAACTAAAACTTCTTGATTCATTTTGGAAATAATGATTTCTGTCAAGTAACCAAACTATTGCAACAGCGCTAGATCGCTTATAAAGAATGTCTAAGTCGCACTAAAGTAAGGTGTACGGATGCAGTATGGTTAAGTTCAACATAGCGAGTGTTATTTAATGCCAAAATCGCGAAATCTTATGCGTAGTACGTATACATCGATGATATTTTGTATGTAAATATTTCAAAACAAAACTCTTATTTTCTCTTAACTCCAGGGATAGATTGCAGTGCGCTTCGGTTTACAAATTAGTATTGGTCTGAGGAACAAAATGCACTATGGGTTGATTCTGGGCAGCACTTGGTCCAGACCCTGGCACTATCCTTTATCACATAAATTAATGAAAATTAGAGAATAAAATAGTGCATGTTTTCTCTTTTACGAGTATTGATTAAGAACGGTCCAACTAAGAAAAGGCAAAATCATTATGTTTTTAGTATATCTAGGTAAAGCCTGGTTCGCGCTAGTCGAGAAATTTAGTCGAGTGACGAGTAATTAGAAGCTACGTGTCCGAACACTAAAAATGTAGTCGAGTAGGTTACCTACTAGGTATCGTATTTTGACAGGCGAGTAGTGCAATGGGTTAGCAATGACGTTCCAATATGTTATGAGTATAATGATCTACACTGAACTGTCCCACCAAACTCATTGACAAGGGGGCGCCACCATCGTTCAACTATAAAGTTTCCAACATGGCAAAAATCTAAACCAGCGATCCGGTATTGGCGGTGGCGCCCCCCTGTCAATGTCACGAGTGGGGCAGTTCAGTGTATTGGGTCTATAAATCCTTTTTAAATAATCAATAAATTCATATGCCGCTTGTCGCGTAGGTAGAGATGGGTAGTGGGTAAAAACCCATTTCACCCGATTGGGTTTAAACTGGGTGATTTGGGTAAAAACCCGGTTTTTACCCATTATCACCCATTCTGGTGGGTGAAAACAAAAATAGCATTTTTTTAAAGTGAGAAGTGGTATTTGTTGCAAAGGGGGCGTTCTAGTGTTACGTAATGCAATCTGGGGGGACAGGAGGTCTTGAAAAACGTTACAATGCGTTACAGTGGCGGAAGGGCGGTTCGATTTCAAGTTTTTAAGCAGAAGTACTTTGTAGTTGGTGTTGTTATTTGTAACTTTATACCGTAATGTCATCAAAGAGAGAGTTTGGCATCTTTGGCATCCCCCCCTCCATGTCCTTGCCATGATCACAAATTATTGTGTTCCTACTAAATTTCTTCTAAATCGGTTCAACGATTCTTGAAATAACACCATTTTATGAAATAATTGGTCACATCATCATAACGTGATCAATTTTACGATTTGGCCACGATATAAATGCATATTAGTGTTAAATTTGACTTATTACTTATTAATCAATAAACTTAAATGAGAAAAATTCAATAAAAATAAAGAAAAGATACCAATTAAAATAATTATAAAATTATTTGTTTTCACCCGGTGTAAACACCCACGGGTGGAATGAAACGGGTTTTTATTGGGTTTTTACCCTCATGTGGGTTTTTACCCGGGTGGAAACCCATCTCCGTAGGTTTGTAATGAATAACAACATTATTTAACTTTGTAATTGACTTGTTCATATTCTTATCAATTTGTATTGAATTTTAAAGATAATATTATAGACTACGATACGATCGTCTTTACCGTTTTTATTCTCACTTTGGACTCACTTTGACACCATAAACATCAGCGAAAATAGCAACTTTCAAATGAAAGCATGGAGAACTCTAAAAAAATGAAGCTAGCTTTTAAAAGTGTACAGGCACGTTTTATGATTAGGCGTGATTAAAAAAAAGAAATTTAGATGTTTTTTTTTTTTCATAAAAATGTTACTTTTCACCCCAGATTACAATATGTCTCACGCCATTGCCTTACTTCAGGCAAAATTAAAAAAAAATGCATGCATTTACTTTTCAGAGATACAACACTATTTTTATTGATTTTCTTCAAAGGATGGTGCCAGGGTCTGGACCAAGTGCTGCCCAGAATCAACCCATAGTGCATTTTGTTCCACAGGCCAATACTAATGTGTAAACCGAAGTGCACTGAAATCTATCCCTGGAGTTAAGAGAAAAATAGAGTTTAGTATTGAATTATTTACATACAAAATATCATCGATGTGTACGTACTACGCATAAGATTACAGAGTACTACGCATAAGGCAACAGTGCTAGATCGCTTATAAAGAATTTCTAAGTCGCACTAAAGTAAGGTGTACGGATGCAGTATGGTTAAGTTCAACATATCGAGTGTTATTGAAGTCCAAAATCGCGAAATCTTATGCGTAGTACGTATACATCGATGATATTTTGTATGTAAATAATTCAAACCAAAACTCTTTTTTTCTCTTAACTCCAGGGATAGATTTCAGTGCGCTTCGTTTTACACATTAGTATTGGTCTGAGAAACAAAATGCACTATGGTTTCATTCTGGGCAGCACTTGGTCCAACTTCCATTACATGGATTGGCACTGTCCTTTGAAAATTATATCCAATTAGGTATTGTAGGCTAAATTAAAACCAATAGGTACCTACCTAATACCTACTAAAATGAATTCATCACAAACTATAGTCATTGTGTTTGGGCTTGAGATATGAATACCTAATTACGCAATAAAAAGAACTGAAAATAAATCGGGAAAATTAAAGAATACAATTGCGCTGATTGATATTTTAATACAACTAAGTATTTATGGTACTAGTACAAATAAGATTATTTTATTATGGTGTAACATATACATACATATAACTGCTTGTAATCATCTTACTCAGAAAAATCTACGATTTTGAAACAAGGACTACCTATTTTAATTACCAAATTATAAACTGTTGCTTTATAACATTTAATAAACTCATTTTTCTTGTCTTGTATGAATGCAGTTTGCGTTAAATAACCAATATATTTCGAAGATATTAAAAATTGACATTTTGGTAAATGCCATACATTCATGTAATACTTATTATGATTTTCTTAGCTTATCTAAATTATACCTAAATAACCAACTCTAACAGAAATTCTATTTAAAATTTACATAAAACAAAACAATGTGATCATTTTAAAAGCATACCTAAAATACGAATATCTAGTAGACTTATTGTAATTTAGAAAAAGTAAGTTATTCATTTGAAATACAATGTTCATAAAACATCTCATTTGTATATTTAAAACAAAAGGATTCATTGACCTATCTTGTCCAAGGTGACAGAAATGTTCCTACTATTTCGAATAATTCAGTAATCAAAATCGGCTCCTCCTACTGTCTTTTTGCAGTCGTACCTACCGGGTGTCCCAAAATTAGCACGTCTCACCGACACTGGAGGTAGCTGGGCCTAAGATGCATCTAACAAGCCTAATACTTAACTATGTCGATAGAAAAGTTTCATAAGTATTGAGATGTCACCAATTTTAGTTATTAATGTCCATAGAGAAGTTTGATGACTTTTGAAATATGACTTACCTAGTTATTATTATTAAAATTTTACTTAGGTACTAGACTTGTTCGATGCATCTTAAGCTCATCTACCTCTAGTGTACTGACGATGGAGGTAGATAATTTTGGGATATTCAATTATAGGGTTCCGTACCTCAAAAGGAAAAAACGGAACCCTTAAAGGATCACTTGTTGTCCGTCCGTCTGTCAAGACCCTTTTTCTCAGGAACACGTAGAGTCATAAAGCTAAAATTTATACTAAATACTCAAGTCTACTGTCTCTTAGAGCTGTGGAAAAATCAAACTTCTAAGCCAACGCAATCAAAAGTTACAGTCGTTTATTCCGCAAATTTTCGCATATTTTCGACATTCGTAAGGTAATTAAAACCTACAAAGTACTTCCCGTGAACTCAGAATCTTTAAATTTGGTACGAAGAAACGTCTTATGGCACAAATTAAGGACAATTTGCGAAAACCGTAAATTTTTGGTTACATCATATAATAAAAATATTTTTAATAATTTTAAGCTTACTACCCCTTTCCTCATGAACGCGTAGAGGTATTTATATTGAAATTCATATCAAATACTCAGGTCTATAACACCTTTAAGGCTGTAATAAAATCAAAGTTTTATACCTACAGGTTTGTACGGATCCCTCGATGGGCGAGTCCGACTCGCACTTGGTCGGATTTTGTAATTCTCATTGGACATCAAAAGATCATTGTACTAACTAATAACATCAATAAGAGTAAATAAATTAAAGCTTACAATAGTTCACACGTAGCTATCAAACGGATAATAATATGGTAGGTATAAACTAAACGAAATATTGTACAATAACTTTTGGATGAATAAGAATAAGCCAAAGCAAACGGTTTGCAACAGTGAACTTTAGTAATACTAAAGTATCGCAACTTGACAACTATTTTATCTGTAGCATATCAACCTATACCTAACTGGGTGCAAAGACTCGTGGCAGGACTCACACTGGTTATGAGCTACGTCACACAGAGGCAGGCATAGCGTTGTCTGTCTATATTACGTAATAATTAATAAAATATTGGCGAGTGTGCATCTCTGTTTCAAAAATTACAAGATGGCCCCGTCTGGCACAAATCTTTGCGCCAAGTGTAGGTAAACGCGGGCATTTTATAAAGTTTTATTAGAGATATTGCAAGTATACCTAGAGTCTGGTGTGATAACGAACGGTCTGATGTTTCTACTTTCCCTTAATTTTAACTCTACATGATTGTTACTTATTATTTACTATTATTGACACAATATCATAAAAATGCTACTACTTATACTATTGAATGACGGATTACAAAACAGCTTTGGGAATCTTAAAAGCATTTTCATATTTTTATAAAAACTAATTTTCGATTAGCTGTGGCGCCTAGAAGGGAAATGTCTGATAAATACAGTACAATATTGGAAACATCTAGGTATCAATTCTTAAGGTAAGTGCTCAATCCAATATTTTCATATAATGTTAAGCTTATGTGACTATGAGTTAATTATGTCATAGAAAAGCATTCAAGATTCTACTTAATACTATTTTTATTACTGACCAAACTTTGACGCATCATAAGAATTGGAAGCTGTTTGCAATAAGTACAGGGATTTTACTACGTTAACGGACACAAGGCACTTTTTCCATGAGTGTCCAGAGCATAACATAAAGGTAAGTAGGCAGATTTTTATCATCATGAAAAACAAATAACAGTAGGCATGTACATTATTATAAAACGGCACTGATCTATGTAAGTTGATGTTCTATCAATGGTTGTATAAAGTGTTCTTCATGAATTTGACTTTTGATTTTTTTTCAAAATCATAACCATAAAATCTCAACGTTCATAAACAAATTTCTAGAATTGAGATCAGATTCTTGATATGTTTTTCACAGATGCAAATTCTTAAATAACTAGTGTAAATAATATGTACCTACTCAAGTATATAAAAGTTTTAGTTCATTTACTTCATAGCCGAATGTAGTTTCATTCAAAAACCTAAAGTTGAAATAATTTATATTTTTGTCGTTTCTGACCAATTATTTCTAAATTTAACAACAGCTATCGACTGAATTTCATTGTTCGTTAAACACTTTTGTATAAGCTGACAACCCACAGAAGTGCACTGCCCTTTACCAAAAAAAACACCTTATTTAAAAACAGCTAGTACTTAGTGGTTACTAGTACTTAGGTACTTAGTGATACAAAGGCTGGTTGCCAACTGCTATCAAGAACAATATCAATAAAATTGATTTGCAGGTTGACATTTCTAAATTGACCAGGTCCTGTTCAGGCGGCATTTCACTGCACGATTTTTTCAGGAAATGTTGTTCAGCACAGAGCTTGTGACGCAAAATTACTATAATTTCACAAATTATTACTTACCTACTTTAATTTTGAAACAAATCACGCCGTCCTCACAGGTTATGCACCAAATATTTAACAAACTCGTACCTACATGAAGCCTTTAAACATTACATAAATAGATCGAAAATGTACAAAATCCTTGGGCACAAAGTTATAATTTTTAATTGAAACACAATTGGCCTAAACTTGAACCCTGTTCATGTGAGGATGCCCTAAATGCTTATTCTAAGTATGCACTTAGAATAAGCATTTACACTCTGCGCCTTTTTGAAGCAGCTTCCCTTCTGCATTGGTCCTCCTGCAATAAATCAAACAAGGGCGTTATTAACACTGAATTAATTATTTAAAATAAATAAGGAAGGAAGAAAATCTTCCATGAGAGTATTTTAAAGTTAAATTGTTCATACACTCTTGTATCGTTTGCTAACTGTAGGTCACTTGTACTACTTGCTAGGTGTAAGATGCAAATTGGGGATGAAAATTTTAATGTGTTTTAACCGCCTCTGTGGTCTAGTGGTAAGACCACCTGCTTCAGACGCAGAGGTCCCGGGTTCGATTCCCAGTGGGGGCAGATTTTTCTGTTCGGTTTGGTTGGTGGTAGGGCTTGTTGTAAGTCCGCCTGGCTAGCTACCACCATCTTAACTAAGTCTGTCGCCATAACAACAATGTTAACAGCATTGTTGTGTTCCGACAGTTAGAGGTAAGATAGCCAGTTCCTCCGTGGTTGAGGATTCCGGGTGAAGCTCGCTTCCACCTTCGGCCTGATCGTCACTTACCATCAGGTGAGATACAGGCCAAGAGCTTCCTCGTTGTGGATAAAAAAAAAAAAAGTTTTAAAATTTCATGTACCTGGTGGGAAAAGAAGAACGATAGATTCGTGGACCTTTGGAAATAATCAGTTTGAAATCGGTTCCTCCGACCGTGGCAAATCGACCGTGGTACATGGATTTGCTCCACTAAAAATTTAACGCTATTGCTAAAATATTTACTAGGCTTGTGTTAGGATTTGGTTTTCCACAAAATTGGTATTTGTATCGACCCTCGAATTGGCAGCCTGGCCAAAACCATAGCTAATTAACTAATAAGTAATACTTTTCTTTGATAGGAGAACATTGAATGTTAACAGCGCTGCCAATCGGTCATTATGGAAATCACTGGGGGACGGATAACGTTCAGTAGTGGCCGTCTTAATCCTGAAATGATGATGATGATGATCAATGAAAAAAAAGTTTTAAGACCTCCGTACCTCTATTCACGACCACCGCTGCTGCAACCGGTCTCTCTCCTGCATGAGCAGCTCAGTCTCCTGCTTCAGCCTCTCTGTGGCCTGATTCAGCCAGTCCCGGTCTTGCTTCACACCTTCGCGTTCAGACTTCAGCTTAGTTAAAGCAAACACCATGTCTGAAATGAGAAGAGATTTATCAACAAATCTTGTCATAAAATACTTATCGGATAGCATGGACGGACATCCTTTTTATGAGATATCAGAACGCTTTTTCTTCTTGTTTTCAAGGCGTAGGTTCTGTTTTTCAAAGTCAAATCAAAAATAAATAATTGATTCACCTTTTTATTATGTATTATTTGAGATCATTGTTTTATGAGTTGATTTTTTGTTCAATGAAATATTTGGAGTGTTCAAAGAAATAAAGAGCGTACAAAAATGCAACAGAGATGTAACTACTCGTATAACCGCTAAATACAGTAATGGTTCGGCCAAACCAACGCGTGCAGACCGCGTGCGCGATGGCGATGACGATTTGTAGAAATCAGTAGGATCGGATATTTAGGGCAGAGTTCGGTATATTGTACCGCCGGGTAAATTGTACCACCCTCATATTTCGTAAAAAAAAATATTGAATGTCTGTAATTGCAACACTCAGCGATACACAACTAAATTCAATTAATATCGGCCATGTGGTTTTAGCCGTGACAACGAACACGTGTGTTTTATTTTGAAAAGTATTTTTTCATTGTTGTCAAGTAACTTTTGACAATGCATGTTTAGTTTGTAATTTAGAAGCGTAAATTAGTGTGGATTACAATTATTTGAAACATTTTTCGGTATTTATAAGCTATATTTTTTTACCGATTTTTTAAAAGCACTATCACCTAGTCGGCTGAATTGTACCACATCAAGTTGTATGGAACTTTACCAAAGGATTTTGAAATTTTTTGTAGTAATTTATATTTTGAACTTATAATAGCGTAGTTATGTTTGACTAACAATAAATGAAAGCAAAAGACTGGCAAAGTAGATTAGGTACAAGTGTGCGTTACTATAATTGGAATTACAAAACTTTTACTCAAAATTACGTGTAAAACAATATCGATTGTCTATGTTATTAACTACTGTTCCTTTTCGTTACCTAATTTGTTAAGAATGTATCGTATAATATTTTGCCATAATATTTTTATAGGCTTAAAATTTATTGAAATCAAATTATCGAACCGGTTGAAATTGGACCGAAGCTCTGAACTCGTATTTTGTTGATTTGTGCTAAATATACAAGAATCATGTTGATTAATACCTATGAAATAGTAGGATGAATAATTTCTCTTTAATTATATACCATGAACATTAGCAAAAACAAAAGATAACTATGTGTAAAATGGGATTGAAAAAAACTGGTCCAAATTACCGGACTCTCCCTTAATTTAGACGCTAACACTAGAACTGGTACTGGAAACGCTTTGCTACAATGTATTCCGATGTTAATTAGTTAGTATAATTTATTAAGTATAGGTAACTAACTAGCATTAGGTACTATAAAATCATCTTTCAATGCATCGGATGACCTTGCAACGTCTTTACGAGAACAATGTAGCCGATTAGGGACTTCATACAATGACACATACAAATATTATAACACCCATAGTTACTATCCTTTACAAGTACCTACAGTAGGTCATATCTATTAACTCGTAGATTGGTGAAGATATTGAATTAATGAAGGCACGAGTAAGTACGACACGTACCTTAGTAGGTACACTACGACAAATGCAAATCACCTACTTACTTGTCTTAAACCTACCTACCTTCTTTTTCAAGTCTTTGCATTAAATCTAGTTTATTTATGCATTCTCGTATATCTACATATACAGGGTGGAAACGTTAAGTGATCTCACTTGATTATTTCTAAACTATACAAGATATCGAAAAACTGATTACTGATTCTGAAAGTGCTTTCCAAGCTCTTACAAACGGTACCAATAATAGGTTACAGAATAAACTGGATCCATCCGAAAATTCAATGTTTCCAGCTTCCATACATTTAGTAAAACCAAATAATATTAAAAACTATACAAGATATTAAAAAACTGGTTATTGACCCCGAAAGTGCTTCACGAGCTCTATCCAACGGTACCAATAATAGGTTACAAAATAAACTGGATCCATCCGAAAATTCAATGTTTCCAGCTTTCATACATTCAGTATAGCCACAGTCATGGCACTCAAGTCTTGATAATATTATAGCAAGTAAAGCCTAAAACCAATGTTTTCAAAGAATAATTTGAAATAATAATGCAATTTACGAGTTCATTTTAAGTGTTTATTATTTAATAAAAAAAACTTAATACTTTTAATATTGTTTGGCTGGCATACATTTAGAATGGAGGCTGGAAACATTTAATTTTTGGATAGATCCAGTTAATTCTGTAACCTATTATTGGTACCGTTGGATAGAGCTAATGAAGCACTTTCAGGATCGGTAACCAGCTTTTCGATATCTTGTATAGTTTAGAAATAATCGAATGAGATCACTTATCGATTCCACCCTGTATACGGCCGTGCCGCTTTGCTCGACTTGGTGGGGGCACTGCCGTGCCCTCAGATTTGTATACGCGGTTCTCCACTATATGCTTAAAGCGTATCCTCTATTTCTTTGGACACATTATGCGGTCTCCAAGGTATTTTCTGGAGAAACAAATTATCTTGGGATAAATGGAAGGCAGAAGTGCTCGGGGCAGGGCACCGATGCAGGGCAAGATGGTCAGACGCGGTGAGGAAGACGGTAGGCGGAAGTTTGCATCGTACGGTCCACGCAGCTTATGACCGCAGTCTGTGGAGGAACACTTTATACGTGGTCGGGATCCTCATCAGTGAGCGACCGAAGAAGAAGAAGAATCTAAATATTAAAAGCGAAAGATCACTGACTGACTCACTCATCACGAAATCTCAGAAACTACAAGTGCCAGGAATCTCAAATTTTGAATGGGAGTTCCTTTTAGAACGTAGATGCTCACTAAGACGGGATTTTACGAAACTCCACCCCTAAGGGGATAAAACGGGATCCACGCGTACGAAGTCGTGGGCGGCCGCTAGTCTACATTTAAGGGTTGATTAAAAATCAAAGTAAAGACATTAACGTCGTGCGTAGGCTCTTAAAGAATGAGACATGTATAGGCTCCTTAAGAGCATTTGACGATTTGCAAGTACCTACTAATTTAATTAGTCTAAACAAATAAAGAAAAAAATTTGATTTTGATTTTGATAATGACAAAAGACAGAACAAAATGCCTGGGAGAAGGAAGCATATGCCCAGCAGTAGACTGCTATGACTGTTGCTTAAGAAGGTGATGATGTATTTGTCCCCGTCGCGGTCGATGAAGTAGTGCTGCTTCAGCGTGTCCAGGACTAACGGGATAGTGCCGTTGATCCTTGTTTGATCACCCACCAATGGGTCACCCTGTATATACTCACGGTCTAGCTCAAAGAAGTGCGCTTCATGGAGAAGCAAGTCCAGGTGTGGGAAGTCAGCCGGGAGGAGCAGCTTCTTGTTGCGGAGGAAGTTCAGGATGTGTCGGAACATGTCCCCATCGCGGTCGATGAAGTAGTGCTGCTTCAGCGTGTCCAGGACTATCGGAATGGTGCCGTTGAACATCTTGCCGAGGCGGGAGTCGGGGTAACTGAAAATTACATTAATAGATGATTAAAAACTAATGTTATTACATAAGACAGTAGCTTTGCCTGTCCTGCCATTACCTACACCAATTTATTATTGTGATTATAGATTTTTTACCCTTTACCTGATGGTGGCAGAATTGAAGCCATCGTGTTTTGAACTTTGGTAAGATAAGGTTCAAAATCTGTGGTTCAAAACCAATGATAAAAATTATCCACGCCAGTTAAAATAGACAAAAGCAAATATTAATAAAATAATACTCGTACCTACCTAATATTTTTAAGTGTTTTGGAAGTATAGCAAAATACGAATCTGGAAGGTTTAAAGTATTTTTGGCTTCATTAAACATACTTATTTCCTTCCTTGTTTGGTTCGCCTATATTTGGTAGAGCAAACTTGTTTTAGGAACACACCATTATCATTAAGAAATGCACTATCGCTTCAAAAATTAATTTAGGTGTAAATTTATTAAGATTAAAATAGATGTAGGTATTTTAATCTTAATAAATTTACATCTATGTACATTTTCAAATCAGTCTTAAAACATTTCAGTCATTGTTCAGCTGTCAGCTGAACAAACCTTTAAAAATTAATTTAGGTAATTGGTATGTAACTTCAGTTTTAAAACAACTCCTGAGAGATCGTGAATAATTTACTGAATTCCAAGACATCTGACTTCGTAATGACCTACATTACTCACTAAAATACAAAATGTAGGCAGGTATAGGACAGTCGCATCAAGCTCACTACCACTCAAATGCCAAGATTGGCAGGGCAGATTTAGTGTTGCTGTATGACTGTGAATCAAACAACCAACTTATATCATATTGGAAACCAAGTTCGCTCGTTCGCTATCACGGATCCGCTCGTAATCATGTCAAGTCAGATGAAGTAACTTGCAGGTTCTTGTATAAGTCTAAAGCAAAGCAGCTTTGCTCAAATAATTCTGTTTCCTCCACTTTATCTATATTATTACAGTGAGCTCTCCTAAAACCCTAAAAAAAAACATCGATATTCTCGAAATTGGTGAACACAATTTCTTTCCTTGAGCTACTTATGCGTGTGCTTATAAAACATGGCTGCGAAAAGTACTGTTGCGTCGTTGGTTCTTCGTCGAGGTGCACAATTCGCAAGATATTTATTTTCGTGCCCTCGAGTGAGTTGATTAAAAGTGCTGGCTGAGGGCAAGAGCGGGTCGCGGGCGCGGGCGGGGGAGCGATCCCGCGGCCTGCGGCCACGCCGGCGGCGGCGGGCCCGCTCCCATCGAGAAATAACACGCCGAGCACAGATAAAACAAGCTTATTTACAATCCCACCTACCCACCGACACACCGTTACATAACCAGCATATAACCTCTTTTATTTATTATGCACCACTTTTAAGCACCATTCACACTCGTGCCGTGTTGTGAAAATGCGAAGAAAGTGCCCTTGGAAACAGATCCTGGATACATTTTCAAGGGATATGATAAGACTTTTTTAGCTTTGATAGAATCCCTAATATTATGTCGCATCATTCTAATGCATCCGGCATCACGATGTGTCTTTTGTCAGTAGGGCGGTGCAATGATATGGCGTGCTGAATTTCATTAATAATATGTAATACCTACGGGCGTGTTACGCGTGTTACTTACTTACTATTTCACAGAAATCTAGATAGATTGATCTAATCGATGTAAATACATTATCATTAATTTTGAAATAGCCTGGAGAAGATATAAAACAAATACGGTGAGCAGAATTTCTCCCCCTCTTTACGGTAAGTACCTACCTGACGCATTAGTGGTGTGAAACCATCTTTACATTTTTCGACACAAAGCAAAGCTGATAATTTATACCGCAGCTGAAACCTCGCGGGCTTATTTAAAACTAACTTCGCATCTACCCGCAATTATCTCCATTATCTTCGTTTTAAAAATAACTGTCGCATGTCGCGAAGATAGGTAATTATCTAGCTGGGCCTGTCGGGGCCACTAACTATGGTCTGCCTGTATTACGGGCTGCCTCAAATTATAAGGCAAATACAGAACTCGTTGTTGAAATGAGCCGGTCTTTATACATATACACCCACCACTTATGATGTCTTCAGCTACCCTTTCTGATCGCTTGGTCGTTTCAGCCGAATCGCTTATTGGTAGAGTAATAAATTCTGATCAAATTGCTTCATTTACCTAACAGTTGTTTTAAAGTAACACGTTAACCACAATATCAATTTCAGCTCGTACAAGGCCTCCAAATGTGTTATGTTGGTTGTGGAAGTTTACACTAATAGGTAACATGTAATTTTTCTTTCACCGTTTTTTATTTTCAGCGTAAAAGGTACGACGTCAATAATACACACCACAACACACCAAAACATGGGCCTCCAAAGAAAAATAACACGCGCAGAAATCGATTTTACCGCTTTGGTGAAAGAGCCATTTTTGGATGGAACTGCGGACTTAAAAAGACTATAGTTTTGTACAAACAAACTCCCCTTATACAATACAAAATCGCAGGGTTTATGAATTCTTTGATTTTACCGTTTTGCAGGCATTTTGAGCTTCGTCGTAGTAATGTACAATTACTACGACGAATTAGAAAAAAGCAGTAAGTATTTCTAAAACTGACGAATTTTACGCAAATCGTCTATTTACTAAGAATTTTTTTTACTTATTGCAATCAGACTCCCACCACGAGCGTTTAAATTCGTGTGGGTCTTCGTGTAGGAGCTAGGTAGAGTTTGGGCTCTATTATTTTATTGATAAGTACATACTGATAGCCTGAGCTGATAGCTGTATTTTCCTGTACCCACTTCGGATCTTGGTCATTGGGATTATACCTAGTTAGACCTTGTTCTTCCACAGTAAATTTCACTAACGGCTTTTGTATAAATAGCCAAATACAAAAATACAAAACTTTAGCAGAGAAGATAGTCTAAATATGAAAGGAGAAACTGACTGACTCACTGACATATCAACGCACAGCCTAAACGGCTAAACGTAGGCACTTGAAATTTGGAAGGGACATAGCTTAGGTACCGTAGAGGTGCAATAAGAAAGGAATTCTCGAAATTCCCACGGGAACGGGAATTAGCGGGAAAATCCTTTTGTATGAAAAATCTAAACCGCTTAAGTTAGACGCTTGAAATTTGGCATGCAGGTACCTTAGTAAACTTAAAGCTTAGTTACAATAGGATATTGCAAAATTCCCACGGGAACGGGAGTTAGCTGGAAAAAACATTTGTACGAAAAAATCCACGCGCACGAAGTCGCGGGCGGCCGCTAGTAGTAAATAATAACTGTTACAAACTCACGCAGTAAGAGTTTCCAGGGAAGATGTGTAGATGGTGCCTCCGACATCGATGTGGACAGGCGCGTTGAACTTGGTGGTGGGCGCCACTCGTGGGATGCCGGCAATCGGGGGCTTCTCCATGCCGCTGCCATCCGGCTGTGGGCTCCCGGGCTTGGTCACAGGCAGCATCTTCTCTGGAAATGTACATGAGATAGATGTGAGTAACCGACCATAAGGTCGTTGGGTCTCCACTGCAAGATGACTCTCCAATTTACAAATCGTAATTGAAATCGATGTGGTATTTCTGTTCGTAATTATGCTGCACTTTCAACTAGAAATAACCTCTGTGGATTTCGATTACGATGTTAGTTTCCCAGCAAACCTAGATGACGTTTTCCAAGTTACGTAATTTCGCGATGCAGAATGTTTTAAAAATAGGTATGCATGTGGTAACCCACTTGAAAAGCGCTTGAATTATTGGCGATTAACTTTAAATAGAATTTTATGGTAGCTTCGAATTAATCCTATAAGCTCTATGACAGAAATAATCATTTGCCCAATCACATTCATGTAAGAAATACCTGGTAATAAAAAATATTTTCATATCTTTTTGGTTTGACTGACACCTTTCTTGGCAAAAGTCCTATCTGTGCAGCAATCTCTGTGACCCTAGTAGGTGTGTGCCAATCCAGGCGATCCTGACTAACGCCCGTATTTACAAACATTACTATGAGGTCTCACAGTGCGCGTGGACGCTATGGGTGACACACGATCACAGAGCTTTCAACTCTGTGCGTTCGATTTCCTGATTCACTTAAGCAAGCATCGTTTGTGAATACGAGCGGTAATGTCACGCCATCTTTTTCTTGAGCATTGCGTTGCGAAGCCATTGCGTGACGACGTGTGACCCAATCAGAGCGCATCGAGCAACATGGGCGGTTCACTCCTTCTTCAGTTTCGCGGTTTTCACATACGCGCTTGTGGTTATTTTTCTCTTTTTTCATACTTACTATTTTTTTTTAGGAATGTACAGTTGTTATAAGTAATTAGTTATTATCATTTTCCACATTATTATACAAGTTTATACTTAGTGGTGCAATACTTTCTGCAGTTAATGCTGATTGCTCCAGTGCAAAGTAACTGGCCCCTCCAAGGTTAACGGTAATGTTACTAATTTTTATTAACCACAAATTACTTAACTGTACTATTATGTAACACAACCTTTTTTTGTCATTTTTGTTGCAAAAATAAAACACGACACACACTCTAAATACTTTGATATTCTACCAATTACGTAGGATAATACAAATAGTAAAATTAAGCAATTTAATATTCATTAATTAAGTAGTCTGCAGCAAAGCTGATATTAATTATAATGTGCTTGAAATTTCAGTTTCCAATATTGGGTCGACCGGCCATAATGGACTTAAATGACATGCGACTGAAATTCATAAATTCATTATGGACATTTGCCCACAGCAGCGGCAGCTAATATAACTACGCGTAACAAGATTGACTGACGATCAACTCCCCTGTACCACCCTTCGGCCATGCCATCACTAATATGAAAATTAAATAAGTGACCAATACGCGACGTAGCCATCAGAGTTCATTTAATCGTGAGAAAATGCAAAATTGAGTCTCCGTAATGGAGTTTTAGCGTCTGATGCCACGGAAAATTCGAAATTCACTTAATTTTGTATCTTTGTTTTTTGGAGGTCTGGACTTTAAGCTTGTTAGTCCATACCTAAGCTGATTTTGGCACCCGCTTCGCACCGATTTCTTATGATGGTAAAATGTGGAAAAAAAACCCGAAATTAAATCCCCATAAGCACGGCACAGGGCACCGCGTCTATAGTTCTATACCAACAATATTATTCTTTAAAAATGCCTTTTAAAGCGATCAGCAATAGAGCGTACTCGTCATAATTGAAAATTTAGAAAACCCTGGACGGTTGTGAAAAAATAGGTATCCTACATTCTCTCTTTCACAGTATGCACTGGACGTTTCAATTAACTTCTACGTTGCATGCAGACACTGTAACCGCTCGTTTTATTCTCCTCCTTCAAAATAATTTCATTTAAGGTCTTTGAATCTCTTTTATACACTGGACCGCAAAGCACACGGGTCGGTTAGAAAATCTTCATTACCTTCAAAAGTACGTCACCTTGCTGAACCTTTTTTTTACTTCTACGCGGAAGAACTCGCGGGCGAAAGCTAGTAAATACTAAATTAATTCAAGCTAAAATAATAAGAGCGCGCGCGACACGCTCGAGCGTTGTCTGTCCAATAATTATGTTTTGTTTCATAATGCTAAGTCATGTACCTACTTAAAAGATATATAATTTTTTTACTAACCGACCCTTTTTCTTTACGGTACAGTGTACCTATATGTAAGTATAGTAAGTAGGTACTTTTAAGAAACGTCTATTTTAGATAGATTTACCAACATGAAATATTATTTAGCACAATACTTACCGAGACATGCCTCCAATATTTATTATCATTTGAATGCAATCATTTTCGTTTCAAAGTGAATCATTCAAAAGCAACAGTTCACCCGGCATTAATTCCGCCACTGTATATTATTTATATGTGCAAAAGTTTAAATAAATAAATAATAAAAAAAATTAAGTATGTTTATATCCGTAAGACTACAAAGTTTTTACCTACTATGGGTGCATCGTACAATTTTTGCTTAGTTTGGGACTAGAGGCGCAGTGTAAAATGTGCAAGGATATTTCGTATTAGTGTCGCGTATCCTATATAAGCTAGGCTTTCCAAATGCAACGGTGTGATAAATTATGTTTTTCTGGTTGTCGCGAAGCACCCTAAAGCCGCCGGCCTATTTTAATGAAACCAGACAGATATCAGTATTTCTACGCTTCATGTTTTTCGCTGTAAAACTAACACATTGGGCTCAGAAACTCATTTAGGTTTATGATTTCATTTGATAAATGGCAAATACACAACTCAAGCTCCAATCAGTACTTTTCGCTTCAATGTGTCCCTTTTGTTGAGTCGTAATTATTTTCATGAAATCTTCCTTGGCTTTATAGCTATTAGATACTAATAGAATACCCAATGAGCTTTCAAATACAATAATAAACGAGTAATGTGCTCTAACAAGTACGCCAGTGAAATTACTGCCACTTAAGTAGGAAGATACACAACCTTGTGGAATATCGATTTCCCACCTACCTACGTTTTTCCTTATTGAGTAAATTGTCTGTGACCTCTTAAGCTCAATTGCCGATGGTTGACATTTCTGACTGCATGTGGTTTACATTAAACTTATACTTAGCGCCTATATACTTAATTACGAAAGTCGCTATCGCTACTCACTATATTTATTTCTGTTGTGACAAAAGCCCTGCAGCGATTTGGTACTATAAAACCATTCAGTAGCCATCATTTTTACACATCTTCTATTCATTCCTTTATACATCCACAAATGGGAATCACTTCCTGATATAACATCCTATCCTATCCTTTACTTTGCATTGCACAAATAGGCCAATGCGTTTTAGAAATGGTTGACAAGATTCAAATGTAAAATATCTGACGTAATCAAGCTTTATAACTAGCAGGAGCGCAGCTGTAAGCTAAGATTTGTTGAATGTGGGGACGAATAAGATCGTTCTACTTCACAAAAGCATAAATTAACCGTGTGAATAGGGCGTTAGGTGTGAAACAAGTGAGATAGGTCGCCACCACCAGGCGGCTGCAGCCGAGATGCATTCAAAAGATAAAAATAATTGAAGTCGGACTTGGTCCGGCCTAGAGCGCTCGCAGTGCATAAAACGACGAAAACATTTCATTATGTCCCTTAAGCCTATGCACATACGAGTAACAGGAAAAGCTTTTAGAAAAAGCCTCGTTTTTCAGACGGGACTTCGGTTATTGACATAGGCACATATTACAACTCGGAAGAACTGTAAATTAAACCGCTGAAAAATCATTGGCTTTTGGTTAACGACGAACTTTTTACCAGGAACGAACTTCAAAATAAACGAATGTACTCAGATGGGAGGCACAGGCACTTCAAACATTGCGATCTATGTAGTTATACCTACCTATTTACTACAGTTTTGACGGGATAATACGACACTGTGGTAAGCATAAAATTAATGGCGCACGAACAAAAACAGATAAAAGGTGCTAAGATTTATTATCAAGATTTTGCCTAACCTTACTGAAATGAATCAAAGTATAATAATAATAAATTATGATTAGGATAGTATTTTCCATTGATATTAATTGCCTACACTGCAGCTAGAACTATGTAGTAGCACTCGACTTAGAATAGATATCCTGAAATAGTTTTCTAGGTGCGGCACTCAAAGTAGGTCTTCAGGAGTTTAGCGCATTCAGGCTTCAGTCGACTCTACTAGAGGAAGTGTAGGAAATAAATAGTGTTGCACTTTGAAGGTATCAAATTCGTACAAAGTGAAGTAATGATTGAAGTTAAAGTTCGTTCGCGTTAAGAATGCAGTGAATCATATTGTCCGCCGTTGACAAACTAAACTTAATCTTTTAAAATATAATTTGTTTGAATTTTAAAACCTCTGTGAACACAACTTTACCCTGCAGTTGCACTGATGATTCACTACATTATTAACGCGAACGAACTATAGTTCCTTTTAAAAATAAATACTTAATTCTAATTTAATAACGATAAAGATCATATTGGGAGGATTTTTGTTTGTATTTTATAGGTCCATTGTAGTAAAATTATAATTACAAATAGTTGTTTTTGAGTTTCCATCCACGTGGATGAAAACTAAATCTAGGTGGACTCTACCGGTTTCCCGATAGAGCAAGATTGTTCAAATAGACATGGAATATCGATTATCTGCTTAGGTATGTATATTGTATATTTATGTCAAGTATCTCAATAAATGTAAACACAGCCGCAACAGTTGCCCAACAATCGCGAGCTAGCACACTAAGGCGGTTCTGCCCTGAGGTGGCTAAGTCAAAGCGCCTTAGACGCGGCAGCCCGCAGGCAATCCCTACTTTCAGAATTGTAATTATAAGCCTTAAGCATGTACACAACCGAAACTGAACTTTAGTTAGATAGGTAGATAGCAACCACAACTTTAACTTCTTAAAATGTAAATGTGTAGGCAGTATAACTTATGCGTCAACCAAACCAACGCGTGCAGCCGGCGTGCATGATAGCGAT